GGGGGGGGGGGGGGGGGGTAATAGAGTTTTGACGTATGGTATGCACATTTTACAAAGTTCCCAAAGTTTTATATGGTCGAATGTGATAAGCAAAACAATCTAGGCTCTGTAAGGATATAATGAGATGGTAGAAAATATAGTTCACAGTAGTGCGTTTTTTCCACCTTTAAGGATTATTCAGAAGCTACTCAAGTGTATCTTTTACAATCTCCAAAGTGCTTCTCCAATAATGATGATGTATGTTACATAATTTACATTGTTAGGAGTATTTGGTCAGTATATGAACTCTTCCTTTATGTAAGTTTTTTAATCCAATTAAAACCTGTTTTAAATGTTTTGGTTGGACAAACTGTGATGGCTATTACTGAAAAAAAACTGTAACAAAGCTCATCCTGCTTGTTCTTTTGTTATATTGCCTACTGGGTTTGGTACCTGGCTGCCCATCATTTTATAATTTAGAAGTGTTTTGAATGACAAGGTGAAAGAGATGCAGGGTGTTCACCATTTGTTTGCGGGGGCGGATGTATGTAGAAGGTTAGAGGTGCAGTTGCAACCCTAACAAAAGAAATTTTAGCTGAAATTTTAGTCTTTTAAGTCCTTATATCAAGTTGAAATTTTAGTTTTTTAAGTCCTTATATCAAGTTGAAATTTTAGCTTTTCTTTAGTCGTTATAAGTTTTAGGATATTTGCACCCTGACTTTTGCTTATATAATGCCTACCAATTAGCTACCCATTTAAGTATGTAGATTTAGTTCTTTATCAACCAGAAACTCATAAAATCTATTCTCTGTGTCTGATAAGTCTCCCAATCAAGACTCAAGAGACTTTTTTTTTCAAAACTTCTATGCCTTAAAATCTGATTCTCCTATTTCAAATTTTCTGTCTCCAAACCTCTCTTCCTCTCAAGTTTCCTTTTCCGTGAGGTTGTGCCCCAATTCTCTGGATAGAGAGGCGCTTGAAGTTGCTTCTAGAAGCATCTCATTGAAGTTCATCAAGCAATGAGTTATTATTCTTGACCAAGCCTCTCACAGAAGTTTTCTACTCGTCCAAGCTTCTTGTCAAGATCTTATTCTTGTTGAATTCTTGCTCTTTTCAAACTCTGAGTTCTTGCATTTTAGGTGATTTTTAGTTTTTTTTATTGTTTTGGTTAAATAGTTGATTTTGTTTGGTTAAAAGATTCATTACTTTCAATTATTCACATGTTTTCTCTTATGAACACACTTCAAAAAGTTAAATTCATCAAGAATGCAAATAAATTTTATCAATTACTTGGTGCATATCAATTGTTTGTTATATAAATTCGATTTGATGTGTATGTTATATAACGAATATGTTAGAATGCAATTGCAATACTGTACTTTGTAAGATACTTTTAACTATCAAATAGTCATTCTTTTGAATTCATTAGCATAAGTGAGCCATTAGTGAAGATACTCACTTTGTTTATCTATGACATTACAGACCAAAAAAGATGCATGTAGCTGATAAAGTGCACTAAATTGCATTTCCATCACGTGTTATAGTTTTATAATATTATATTTTTTATATTTAGGTAAAAAGTTATTTGTTGTTTGCTCCCCAAGAAAGTTTTCCTCGCCGCTGTTTGCTTGATGTGTTATGCTTGTCATTTAGGAGTTGGCATGTGATTTTTGTTCATCTTTCTTTGCCTATGGATGCTACAAAAATTATACTTTCAAGGAGAAAGGGATATGGTGGATTCAAATATTGTGATTCCACTACAAAGATGACTTAAATATAGGCATAGTTGATGAAGATGTCTTCTCAGGGTTTGGACATATCCTAATCTTCATATAATAATGAGAGAATTCCAACTTTTTCCCTCATATCGATGGGTACTTTTTTAATTATTTCTTATTTGCGAAGATTAAAGGTCATGCTTATTGTGCTAAATATTGATCTGTACTTTGTGATTTATGTTTGTGAAGTGCCTCTACAATGAGTGGAGAGGTATTTTGGGATGGAGGTTTGATCTACATGCATTCTTGGCAAAATCATGGAAGGAACAAAAATCAATTTCATTCAGATCTGTGAGATATTCATCCTACCTGCAAGACTACAAATTTCAAGATTCACTAGTTCTGTTAGCAAACTATGGCTAAACATGACAAATTGGATGGCTTAATTGTTTCTCGTGTGGCTTTCTAGGTTCCCTTTGTTCTTGTGGAAGCTACTCAGAGGCCTAGCTCAGGGTTTGTTAATGTTTCTTTGGAGGGTTCTGCTCACCCACTCCCTCTCACTACTGTTTATCATCAGTTACACCCTGTGCAACCTACAGCTTATACATTTTTCCAGGTCATCTTTGGTAATGGGTACCCCGTAAGTTCTTGCCTATACCTAATTTTTCATTTTCAGAGTTGTGTCCTAGATAAACATTTGCCGTCTTTTACAGTTCTTACTACAACAATTTGGTTTTGCAAGGTTGCACTACTGGATGAAGAAAAGATTCTTCCAGTTGGAAAGGAGATCACTGCAGTTGGCATTTGCAGAATATTTGAAGGATCTCTTGAAATCAGATCATGTCCGGATCTTCCATGTTTTTTGTAAGATTTATATGGGAAATTGTTTTCTCCATTTGTTCTCTGGCATAAGTGATAATCATTCTGATTAATCTTATTCACCATGTTGACTTGTGCTATTCATTAAAATACTAAAGTTGGTTAAGTTCTTTGATACTTTCCATACTAACTCAGTGTACTCTATCATCTGGTTTTTGTCAAACATGTCTCATTTTCAGAATTAC